AAAAAACAAAGATAATTAAAATCATCTACTAAGAAGCAAGCACAATAGCGTCCCCCATCAAAAGGTCCTCACTCCAGTGGTTGAATGCTTTTTCCCTGTGATTTTTCCATAAGCTGAAGTGAAAATGGGAGTCAGTGAGCCCTCTAGTGTTGAAATGTAGCATGCATTTGTCTTTAAGTATAGCAGAAATGGTGATCCTCACTCCCAGTGTACATTTACCTGGACCTGCTCATACAGGAATGTGAAATATCTGGGCTACAGTCTGTTAACATGTGGGTTAGTGATAAAGATATGTGGCAGTAGTGGGCATGTTCACAAAACTGACTGTCAGTGGGTCACTTATCTTATTGTGTGTTCATCACTGGGGTTGCTGCTTGTCCCAATGTTGCTGGAACAAATACACAATGAGCATTAGCGCTTACAAACCATACCAGCAGAAATAACAATGCAGGCTGATAATTTGTGGCCAGTTTCTCTGACGTGCAATCAGAGAATGATTGGTTAGATAATATTGCAGAGCCATACTTCAGATCACTTACTTCTTGCTATATTGTGTCTATGTTTCCTCAGTCTCAAGTACAAAACCATTTTAAGGATGAGCAGTAGCGCCAGTAGTGCAGCAGCAGACACAGCCAAGTAGAGCTCCTATCCTGCCAGGGATGGTGCCACTAAAGTGAAGCAAAATACCACACACTCAAGACAAATAATGTAAATAGATTTCCTTTAAAAAGAGAAATCATAATCATGAACCTCTATTTGCTTGCCTCTGGAGTTTTACTTGACAGAAAGAGAAAGAAAAACATCAAAAACACTCCATCATAACTGCTAATGATTACTTCTGGTCATAAACTTGCAGAATACATATAGTTTGTGACATTATGCTGCACAGAGATGGGACCAACGTCCTGATAACTTAAAACATGCATTAACTGATATTCTAACCCTTATGCCAAAGGTTTTATTGTATGTCTTGGTCTTATGAAAAAGTAACACAAGAAGCTGCCTATTATAAAGCTTGACCACCAGATGGCAACATTACCAAGACTTTAATAGAAAATTGCTTTTTTTCTGTTAGACATGGATATTCCTCAACAAAGACACACTTAAGCACCTTTTAAGTTTTATGTACCTCTGATATCTTATTTCTTTTATTTAGAAGAAGATTTACATGCTGGGGGGCCGTGAGGCGTGCCTCACAGCCTCGTCGCAGTGGGGCCTACTACTATATAAAATGTAATTAAAGCAAATAAAATTATACTGATCATTTCCAAATATTCATGTCATTACGCCCCCCACCACCTCCTCTTCTCTGCCATCTGCTTATTTTTGTTCGGTTTTCTCCTCTATTCATCTCTTTTTGGTTTCTCCTCTCCTCCTGAAAAGAAACATAAGACAAAATGGAATATTTAGAAATTCAGATGAAGTGGGAACAGATGACTACATAAAATTATCATTAGATAAACTGATATTTACCATGCACATGAAAGGTCTTACACTTCATCCTGCCCTCCATCACTTCCTCTCCTCACTCTGAAAGATAAATAGAAAACCAGAGGAGCTGTAGCTAAGTTTTAAAAAAAACTAAGGCACAGATGACTGATTCATCACTAATATTTATTTATTATTTCTTTATTTCGATTGCACATTAACCCGTAAATCGCTACGCACATGCTACCACGAGCCGCATCCATTTTTATTTTCGCAAACACAGTATGCTGCGTCTGACGTCATGTCCTCTTCTCCGCATGCGGATCACCTCAGGGCCGTATACCGTTCACACATGACAGTGTGAACAGCGAAAAAAAATAAATAAATAAAATTCGGATTTCGGCAAAAAATCCGATCAGAGCTTTAAGACCTGCAGTGTGAACGAAGCGACAGGTGTGGTGGGGAGATGGAAACAAAAACCGAGAATTCTGCACCAACATTTGAAGATACCCACATGATTTTTCTATTAAAACTGAAATTTTTCTAAATTTCAAATGTTTCCTGACATTTTTTGTTTCTCCACTCCTCCATTCAAATTAAAGGGATCACATGTCTAACTAAATGGAACATTTAGAAATTCAGATCAAGTGGGAACCAATGACTACATAAAATTAACATCAAGATCAAAGATTTGTCAATTCACTATATGTGCAGGACATACAGAAAATAGAAATACCATTTCTCTCACCTAGTATTGAATGCCATCCCATTTAGGAAACTAAAATATAATAAAAGTAGAGTAAAAATAAAATAAAAAGAAAACTAACTTGAAGAAAACTAAATCAAAGTGATTAGGATAAAACTAAATGTACAACCTAATAGGCTATGACTCAAACCATGTACAATCAGTGACAGTAGTGCAAATAATAAGAAGATTGTCAGATGGTTGTGAGATTGAGATGCACATGGACAGTAGTGCAAATGACCAAAAGCAGCAGATATGACGGTCAAAACGGTCAGAAGCAGATTTACATGTAATACAACAAGAAGGGGGAATGTACTGGGTTTGTGCAAAACAGCAGAGGTAGTCTTTTTATGTTCTGTGGTGGGTTACCGTCCAGGGGCGGGTAACTAATAGTGTTCAGCATCCTCACAGCCTGGAGGATGAAGCTGTTTGTAAGTCTGGTGGAGTGGGCCTGAAGACTTCGATACCTTCTCCCTGAAGGCAGGAGTCTGAAGTCGGAGTGTGAGGTGTCATCAGCAATGCTGATGGCTCTGTGGGTCTTGCTGGCTGTTTTTACTATGCGTTGCAGGGTCCTTCTGCAGGAGGCAGTACAGGCTCTGTACCACACAGTGATGCAGCCAGTGATGACGCTCTCAATGTTGCCCCGGTAGGAGGAGTATATGATGGGGGGTGGGGCACTGGCTCTCCTCAGTTTGCAGAGGAAGTAGAGACGTGTTTGAGCTTTCTTTGGCCAATGATATGGTGTTTGAGCATTCTTGGCCAATGATGTGGTGTTGTTGGTCCAGGAGAGGTCCTCAGAGATGTGCACCCCCAGGAACTTGGTACTGCTCACTCTCTACAGCACCACCGATGTCAGTGGGGGATGCTTTTGAGGTTTCCTCCTGAAGTCCACAACAATCTCTTTAGTCCTCCCCACATTGAGGGAGAGGTTATTGTCCTTACTCCACTGTTCCAGTTGGCACACCTCACTCCTGTAGTTGGCCTCATTGTTGTTGGTAATGAGGCCAACTACAGTCGTGTCATCC